GGTAAATGCTTAAAAATGGAATTGCCAAATCATAAGATAGGTGCCCAGGCTGACTAACTTTAAACTGATAAGAGTGCTTTTTAATTTTTTTTGAAAGAGGTGAAATTCATATTCTCTTTAATGTGGTAGAATGTCTTATTACTACTCTTTAGACACCCTAATATATGGATTGAGTTATACATGGGTGTAATGCATGAATATACATATTGGATATGCTTACTTATTTGGATGGAGGAACTTGATTAAAAGTGTTAGAGATTATACTGTAGGTGGAGGGAAAGAGTAATGATTGTTTAATATTTTATATACATAAAAGTAATGCTATTACTTTGGTTATTTAAAGTCTTATACAGACTTTCTATCTGGTGTTGATTATACAAAAATCAATGTAGTTTAGAAGGGAACTAGAAGTTTTTATAGTTCTGTTTCTAGTACATTTAAGGATATGTGAGGGTTTTTTGGTATGTATATATATATTTAATGATTGACAGGCTTCTTCCTGTCAAAGCCTAATTATACTGAGGCATTATGGCTGCCTTGTATTACTTACCTCTAGAAAAGATTTTATATTGCAATTTTCTTCCAGGACAACTTTGTGTGTGTGCATGTAGGTGGTGGTGGGGTGCTGATGTTTGAACCCAGGGCCTTGTGCATGCAAGGCAAGCACTCTACAAACTGATCTATATTCCCAGCCCTCTTCCAGGGCAACTTTTTAAAATACTATCTCATTGAGATTTCTTTAAATGGAACTTCTTTTAAGTCTTTATATTTTTTTCTGAATGGTTCTGCCCTATTTCTCATTACTCTTTCATTTAATCTGCTAGGCTAGTTGTAGTTTCATGGTATGTTATGTAACTTATTTTGAGAATTCCTTACAAATGCTGTTTTGAGCTGTTCAAAAAGGGAAGTGGGGCTGGGGTTGTGGCTCAGTGGCAGAGTACTTGCATACTTAAGTTTAAAAAGATTTTAAAAAGTGGGGAGGATGGTTCTTAACACAGTGAGTTTTTTTTTTTAAGAGAATGTTGATAATCCCTTCAAAAGGCTGAATTTATTATTTATTTTTTAGGTTATAGTCTTGATAGTTTTTATTCCTTGATGTTTACATTTGTCCCATGAAAGAGCAAAGTGGGATCTTTCTGAAAATTTTGTGAAAGATCCTCACAGGGGCTTAAAAATATCTGAGACTGAAATGAAAGCAACTTTTGAAATTTTCTTTTAAAATTGTCAAATATATTTTATGAAGAATTTATAAAAGGGGGGAAATGATTGTAATTTATTGTTCATGACAGTTTTTTTTTAATAAAGTGAGTTTCAACAACAAACAAAAAAAAATATCTGAGACACAATCTGTCGATTCAATCAAAGTCACAATAAGAAAATGGAGTAAACTACCTCCTCCCTGCCTCCACCTTAAAGCCCAACACTGGAAACCAGTGGATAGTTTGAGCTGTCCTTCCTACAAATAGCGATTCTTGAATGAATCATTTAGATCAGTCCCATGTATGTGAAAAAATTACATTACTGCCCAGTGCTGGGTTTTCTATTTATACTATGAGGCTATTATTATTATTATTTTATATCCATTTTGTCCTTTTTTTGGCGGGGAGGGTACACCAGGGATTGAATTTAGGGGGCTCAACCATTGAGCCATGTCCCCAACTCAAGGTCTCACTGAGTTGCTTAGCGCCTCTCTATTGTTGAGGTTGGTTTTGAACTTGCTATCCTCCTGCCTCAGCCTCCCGAGCCACTGGGATTACAGGTGTGCACCACCAGGCACAGCCATTTTATCTTTTTTTTTTTTTTGTAAGACAGTGTGAAGCAAGCAGAAAAGAAACTCATGATAAAGTACTTTGGGACCAGAAGGAAAATACTCTGAAGTATCTTGGCTTACTATTGCTTTATCTTTGCATTTGTAGAGAGACTTAAAAGATTTGGGCATACTTACCTGCATTTTCATTTGCCATATTCTCTTAATACATTAAGAACTCAGGGGCACTCAGCCACTGAGCCACATCTCCAGCCCTATTTTTGTATTTTATTTAGAGACAGAATTTCACTGAGTAGCTTAGCATCTTGCTGTTGCTGAGGCTGGCTTTGAACTGATGATCCTCCTGCCTCAGCCTCCCAATCCGATGGGATTACTTGAAAGTTGTAAATTGCCAGGCATGGTGGCATGCGCTTTGTAATCCCTGTGATTCAGGAGGCTAATGACAGGATGATTACAAGTTTGAGGACAGCCTGGGCAACTTACTTAGCCAGTTTCTGTCTCAAACAAAATTTAAAAGAGCTCAGAGTATGGCTCAGTGTTAGAGCTCCCCTGAGTTCAATCTCCAATACTGCAAAAATAAATAAATAAATAATAAATAAAATTGTAAGTTAATGATTTGATTGTCATCATTAATCAAATGATGACATTTGACTTTTCAAAAAACTTTTTAAGTCTAGTAACTAGATTTAAAGGTCACAGTAATTTTTGTCTCATGGATGTTTGTTTTTATTTTGTTAAATGGTAAGTGGGATTCACTTTTAGCCCTTTGAAAATATAAGGGCATGGAAATACCATGGCATCACTTTAATTGGTGTATGATATTAATGGAAGAACATTTTGTCTTTAAAATAATGTTCTGGTATATTATTATATAAAATTTAATGAAAAGAGCTTGTCAAGAAAATTAAATCTCTTTGAGACATGGACTTGTTGGTTAATGTTGTAGTAAGGTTTCAGTGTATGATACATTTATGATACTTTCAGGTAAGTTTTTTAAATCAAATTTTTATAATCAGAATTTCTTGTAAGTTAGTGACATTTGTTACCATGAGGAGAAAGCAGAAGAAACTGTGACAATTCTATCTATTTAACATTTCCTCTTTTGGGCCACATGCTTGATCTGATATGCTGAAATTGCTTTTTCTTTTCTTTCTTTTTTTTTGGTGACAGGGATTGAACTCAGGGGCACTCAGAAACTGAGCCACATTCCCAACCCTATTTTTGTATTTTATTTAGAGACAGGGTCTCACTGAGTTGCTTAGTGCCTCCTTGCTGTTGCTGAGGCTGGCTTTGAATTCATGATCCCCTTGCCTCAGCCTCCCAATCCGCTGGGATTACAGGCATGCCCCATTGCACCTTGCTGGCTCTGAGATTGCTTTATAACTGATGTCCCTGTGTCTGCCATCCCAGATGGTTCTCATTGCATGTGAGAATGGTAGACGAGCACCCTGCCTAAACTAACTCTTTGTGACATGGACACATATTAGTCCAGGTGATAATCTACTTACAGATGATTTGGCAGTTCAAAGAAAATTGAACCTGTCCAAAGCCTTCAGGAATAATCATTCTGTTGTGTGATTACCTATTCTTTTAAATATCACTAAGATTAGATTATATCACTGTACTGTTTTGTGGCATTTTAATTAATGTGTTATTTTAAAGAATTTAATCTTTATTTATTTATTTATTTTTAATGTTGAACCCAGGGCCTCACCAGTGCTAGGCAAGCACACTCTACCATTGAGCCACAAGCCCAGCCCCTTAATGTGTTTTTTAAAAGACTTAGAATGATATATAGTTGAGTTTCTCCTGTTCATTCCATTCTCCTTCACTGTCCTACTCATAAATTTCTGCAGCAAAGCACTTGGATACTTTTAAAGTCTAATATGCAGATTAAAGTTTTAAAACTGAAGCTTCTATCATCATCCACACCAAAAAGGGAGAATGTCTCCCAGCTTTTTATTTTCTTAACTATAAATAGCTAATATTGAATACTTAAAGTAGAATTACTTTTTAAGCTCCTTATGTGGACTATACAGGAGTATTTGCTTATTTTATCTTTAGTCTTCAAAATATAACATTATTGGAGAAGTTTAAAGCCAAAGAAATAAAGACATAGAAATAAAGTTAGTCCATGGCTAAGCAACAAATGGCAGAGACCATACTCTAATTATTACATTAACTGTCAGTACCATAACTTCTTTTAATTGCTACAGAAGATGATTTCTGCCATTCCATTCTCCTTTCTGCATGTTATATATACACAAAGATGAAAATGGTGTGGTTCATCCTTTCATCTTTTTCACAATTCATTGAAAGAGTTCATCTTTTACAAATGCACTACAGAACAAATTCTGGAATCTGATATACATTGCAGTTCAAGCTATGTGATCTTAGGCCAATTAATCTCCTTTTAAAAGTGGCAATGAAAGTAGTGCCTACTTTTTAAGGCCATGAAGATTAAATGAGAACATTTAGAAAGGATGCATGTGTAAGTGTTACCTCTTTTCTACTCTGAAGATATTACCAATCATTAAGCTTTTTACCCTAAAGCAGTAATCAGATTTACTCATATCTGGTGTTTTGATATGGCATACTTTGCTGCTGCTTCTTTGCTCAAAAAGAAGTTTGCTTATGTGGCTTTCTTCTCACTGCTTGTAGGCTTAATGTTTATTCTGTATAGATTATTTGGTCAGAAATATTTTTCATCAATTAGTTACTTAGGCTTATTTTCTGCAAAGCATTCCTCATGAAAACTTGGCTATGTTCCCATCTCTTTTTAATTTGAGACAGGGTCTCACTAAGTTGCCCAGGCTGGCTTTGAACTTGAACTTCTTTTCCTCAGCCTCCCAAGTAGTTCATTCTGAATAGTTTGTACTGTTATTTTTCCATGTCACAATTTTGTACAAAATTTAATTTTGTTTTAAATTATTATTATAGTATTTTATCTTTACATCACACATGAATGACTTTATTTTATTATTTTGACTAATTCTTTCTTCTAAGAGTTATAATATGAATAATTATAGATTATGTTTAAAGAGGACTGTTACTGAAAAGACAGTAGTTAGAGTGCTTCAGGACTGATGTTTGAGACATGACCTTTAAGCCAGTACCTAGATGTCCATGTTGAAATTTCCTGGGAATAAAAAGCATTGGTATAACATTAGACAGTGTTGGTAAATAAATCCTACCTTGACAGGATAATTTAGATATGTGCTTGTATTCTTAGGTGACCGGGTTATTGATGTGGGATCCGAGTGGAGAACTTTCAGTAATGACAAAGCAACAAAAGATCCATCTCGAGTTGGAGATTCTCAGAATCCTCTTTTGAGTGATGGAGATTTGTCTACCATGATTGGCAAGGTAATACTCGCAATCAGCAGGAAATACCTAGTGCAGAGTGACCGAAGACCCGGGAGTTTGGAATCTTTGCAAAAATATCAGACACTGGTCTCATTGGGGAATATTGGCCTGATAATAAAATTTGCCAGTAATACCACTGTGGATGATGGCTGATTAGTGTGTTCTTTCCATCTTGGAAGGGAGAACATCAAATCAAAATTATAATATGTATGTATGTATTTATTAATTTTGTACTGAGGATTGAACCCAGGAACACTTTACCACCAAGCTACATCCCCAATCCTTTTTATCTGATTTTTAAAAATTTGAGACCAAGTCTTTCTAAGTCGCTTAGGGTCTTGCTAAGTTGCTGAGGCTGGTCTTGAATATGCGATCCTGCTCTCAGCCTCCTGAATTGCTGAGATTTTCAAAGGACTGGGGATTACTTAGCTCAGTAGTAGAGCACCATAAAATTCCATCCCCAATACCATACTTGCACCCTGTCCCCTCAAGAAAAATTGTCTTCTCCCTGTACACTAAATACTTAATAGTTAAGGGTTTCATGGAAATGTAGTATATAGAATGTGCTCAGTAAATGGTGGTGGTGATTATTATATAAGGCAATAGCATAATTTCCCTGATAGCCTGATTCTCTTTACTTTGTAATCTGAATTGGAAATAGTGGTGAAATATTTTGCAAGATTAATCAAGGGGGTGTTTACATTTTAAGATATTACTATTGTGTACGGTTTTTTTATTTTCTTTTGTGCAGTCCTTAGGGTTGAATTTGGTAGAACTCTACACTGAGCTACATCCCTATCTCTTTCTATTTATATTGAGACAGGGTCTCACTAAGTTGCCTGGGCTGACCTCCAACTTGGCTTGTTGCTTCAGCCTCCCAAGAATACATATTCTGTATTTAAGAAAGTATCATGAAAAAAAACCCAGGTTATTAGATATTTTTTGCATGCTGTAATTGATAAAACTGCATATCAAATTTGGACAACATGGTATATAAAAGGTTAAAAGTTTAAGGTATTAAAACCAGAAATATTTTTAAGTAGATTATGTCTGCATTTGCTTTAAGCCTTATGGGCTTGGAAAAAAAGCATATTTATAGGTATTTTAAAATGTAAGATTGTAACTAATTGACACTGTGACTTTTTGTTATTTAATTTTTTCAATAGCAAATACACGATTCAAAAAATGTATGACAGGAACATATATTAAATTTTCCTCACCCTTGACCCCTAAACTCTTAAGTTCCCACTGCAATACCTCTTTTCTGCCAGAAGTAGCCACTATTATTAGTTTCTTCTATATTCTTTGAAAGTTTTATTCTTATTTTAATATTTATTTTTTTGTTTTTAGGTGGCCACAATATTTTATTTATATGTGCTGCTGAGAATCGAACCCAGTGCCACATGCATGCTAGGCAAGCACTCTGCCACTGAGCCACAACCCTAGCCCTGAACGTTTTATTCTTACATGGCTAAAAAGAAAAATTTTAAGATGCTACATTTATTGTAAACTAAATTTTTTATATGTATTTGGGAATATTTCTGGACTTTATCTGTTCCTGTTTTGGTCTAGTTAATCAAATGCCGTACCATACTTTTATATCCGGTAGCACTAATCCTCATTGCTTTTCTTTTTCAGTGTTTTCTTCACTAATTTTTTCTATTTAAAGGTTAGGATCACTTTGTTCTGTTTTTCAAAAACAAAGCAAAACAAAATCTTGATTATTTTTATTGGGATTTTGGTTATATTTATTTACAAAATGATATAGGGAAAATTGACTTATTGATACATCTTTCTATCCAAAAATATGGTATGCTTTCAATTTCCTTAATTCTTATGTGTCCATTAGGGATGTTTTAATATTTTCTTCATGAACATCTTACATATAAGTGAATTTCCAGAATTTATTTTTTACATTACCATTGTAATTGGAATATTTTCCTTCATTGTCTTCTAACTGGTTAAATGTGTGTTGGAAGGTGTTGATTTCTGTTCATTAATCTTGACCTGTGACTTTAATGAATTATTTTTTTATATATTTATTTTTTAGTTATAGATGGACGCAATACCTTTGTTTCATTTATTTTATTTTTATATGGTGCTGAGGATCAAATCCAGTGCCTCTTGCGTGCCAGGCAAGCGCTCTACCACTGAGCCCCAGCCCTAATGAATTCTTTTATTACTGATAACAATAGCAGTTTTTTAGTGATTTTTTTTGAGTATTCTAGGTATACAAAGATATTACTTGTAAATAGTTTAATAATTTCCATTCCAAATTTGTATCTCTTACTTAACAATATTGGCTGTTTTTTCTAGTATAGTGTTACAAAGTGGTTGTTGAAGGAGGCACCTTTGTCTTGCATCTACTTTATTGGTAATCCTACTAATGTTTTTTCATTATTCGTAGTGCTGGCTTTGGCCCTTAGAGATTTTTCTATTGTGAAGAAATATCCATGTGTAGTATTCTATGAAGGTATCAAAAATGAATTCTGGCTGGGTGTGGTGGCACATGCCTGTAATCCCAGCAGCTTGGGAGGCTGAGACAGGAGGATGCGAGTTCAAAGTCAGATTCAGCAATGGCGAGCTATTAACCAACTCAGTGAGACCCTGTGTCTAAATAAAGTACAGAATAGGTCTGGGGATGTGGCTCAGTGGTTGAGTGCCCCTGAGTTCAATCCCTGGTATCCCCCCACCATCCAAAAAAATGAATTCTGACTTTTTTTCATCTTTTTTGGTACCTTTGGAGATCATATGAGTTTTCTTCTTAGATCTAATATTATGATGTTTTATTAGATTCTCCAATAATACATATTTTGCATTTGTGAAAGTCTCCACTTGGTCATGATAATATTAAAAATGTATTCTGTTTTCTGATATTTGTTATTTTATCATATTTATAAATGAAATTGGACTGCTTTGTTTTCTATTTTCTGTGGCCTCAAATAATTGTTCAGAATTATATATTCCTTAAGTGATAAAACACCTCTTTAAAACATCTTAACCTGGTACTTTTTCTATTTGAGGGAAAGGTAGGATGCACAGTGCAAATTTCTTGGGCTTTTGGAGTCAGATTGTATAACTTGTATTTTCATAGAAATTGTTCATTCAAGTTTTCTGAGAGTTTCTTGCAAGTTATAAAAATGTTTTATAGGGTACAGGAGCTGCAAGTTTTGATGAGTTTGGCAATTCTAAGTACCAGAATCGGAGAACAATGAGTAGTTCGGATCGGGCAATGATGAATGCATTCAAGGAAATTACTACCATGGCAGACAGAATCAACCTCCCTCGAAATATAGTTGTAAGTTTTTGTCTACCTCCTTTAAGCCATTCTGGCATTGATTTTTGCATAATTTAGTGAACATATGCAATTTTGATATTGTAACTAATTAAATGGCCTAGAGTTAATTAAACTTAGTTTCTCTGTTTTGAAGGATCGAACAAATAATTTATTCAAGCAAGTGTATGAACAGAAGAGCCTTAAGGGAAGAGCTAATGATGCTATAGCTTCTGCTTGTCTCTATATTGCCTGTAGACAAGAAGGGGTTCCTAGGACATTTAAAGGTGAGTTTTTAGTTGCATAAAGTAACAGACCAAAGTCAAGCTGCTTTGATACTTAGAAGCCAAGTCCTGTCTTCATCATTAGGTATAGTAATCCACCTGCACATTATTTGCCAGCGCCACTTTATTTTGTTCCTTGACAACAAAAACATAAAGAGATCTTACTGACCATGTTCTTTTCAAACTGTTTTCCCATGTAGATTTGTTTTAAGTCTATGTTAGGCCACTGTGTTCTTTGCTAGTAAGATATTTTGATGGACTATATTTTATGGGTTTATGGCCTGGCATCAAAGCTATAGTAGGCTCTTTGTAGGAAGTCAGTACACTTGATGCATAAAAACAGCTGTCATTTCTAGCATAGATCTTTCTCTATAGGTGTAGGAGTCGAGCCTTGGAAAGCATCAGTGAGATTTTTTTCTTTTGAGGTATATAGTATTTGCAGATTAACACTTAAATTTAGAGGCTTTGAGATAATTGGTATTTTTCATACAGTTTGCAGTTACCCACAAATATATGACAACCTATTCATAGTGTTGTCATGATGCATACACTGACAAAAGTTTTGTAGCTGAAGGCTGAACTTACTCTTCATTCATCCAGTTAATATTTATTAACATGTTTTAGGACAAAGAAAAGAAGTGATGGCCTTTATCACCATCTTTTGTGTTGTTACTGCAACTAAAAAAAAGAAGTTTGTTAAGTTTATTCTGAAAGTGCTTGGTGGATGAATATTTAGGATAAGGGTGTTGAATATTTATCTCATTTAATTATAGCCTGTAATGGCAGGAATTACATGCGTACATGACTTTGTAGCTTGAGAAACATTCTTTAGCTAGAGTATTTTCTTTCATCTCCTTGATACCCTCCCTATAACAGATTAACATATAAATACCCAAGAAATTTTTGATTAAAGATGTCTATTTGCATAAATTGAAACTGTCAAGAAGTTAATATTTTCAAAGATTAAGACCTAAATTTAAAGTGTGGTGAACATTTACATTAACCAAGAAATTTTAAATTAGCTCAATGGGAAATATCACTGAAAGGATTAGGGTTTCAACTTTAGGCATGGTTAAGATTTTTTTTTTGCAACTGCAATGTGTTATTTAATCAGAAATGATAGGTTTTTAAATGAACTATATGGCTTATATGGATTTTTTTTTCTTTTAGAAATATGTGCTGTATCACGAATTTCTAAGAAAGAAATTGGCCGATGTTTTAAACTTATTTTGAAAGCTTTAGAAACAAGTGTGGATTTGATTACAACTGGGGACTTCATGTCCAGGTTCTGTTCCAACCTTTGTCTTCCTAAGCAAGTTCAAATGGCAGCTACACATATAGCCCGTAAGGCTGTGGAATTGGACTTGGTTCCTGGGAGGAGCCCGATCTCTGTGGCTGCAGCAGCTATTTACATGGCTTCACAGGCATCAGCTGAGAAGAGGACCCAAAAAGGTAGGGGTTTTCATGAGAAATGTTGATAATGAATTATGAAGGCTAAAGTATGTCTTTTTCCATTTTATGTGTGAAGCATTTAAGTATCCAGAACCCACACTTCAGAGGTAGTTCCTCAGCAACAAAACATAAAAATATCTAGTATTTTGCTTTTAAGTGACTCACAAATAAAAATGTTTGGAGGCACAGCTATGTACAAACTTTTTTCCCATTGAATTATATAATTTTAATTTGTACATTGTTCATTCTTTTTTAAAATTTATTTAATTTTTTTTACATTGTTCACTTTTTTGTGAGTTCTCTGTAATTTTTTTCCTTAAATATTCCTGATCATTTTGAGTCATTTTTCCCTCCATAAACTTAACCTTTTTAAATCTTGGGAGGGGCAGTGGGAAATAGGTTGGAACATGACCCTGCTGATTAACACACTTATCAATATTGTTGACCATCAACCTTTAATGTTCTGTGAAGCCTGCTTTTTTCTCCTTTTGAATCATATTCATAATTTCTTTTTTTTAAAAGAGAGAGAATTTTTTTAAATATTTATTTTTTAGTTTTTGACGGACACAACATCTTTGTTTTATTTTTATGTGGTACTAAGGATTGAACCCAATGCCCTGTGCATGCCAGGCAAGCGCGCTACCGCTTGAGCCACATCCCCAGCCACTATTCATAGTTTCTTAATGAAATTTCTGAAATACATAGACATAAGTAGTTCAACCTTCTATAAAGTCATTTTTAAATTTAGTGTGGATTTTTCTTTTTAAGGCACAGTCTGGTTTTTTTTAGTTGTAGATGGACACGGTGCCTTTATTTTGTGTATTTATTTTTTATGTGGTGCTGAGGATCAAACCCAGTACCCGTCATGTGTGCTAGGCAAGCACTGAGCTACAACCCCAGCCCTCTAGGGAAACTTTCAACCAGAAGTATTAATCATTTTTGCAAGTATAAAAATTGCAAAAATGGATTACTTCTATGATCCTCAAAAAATTTTATGAAGAAAAAGGAGAGTCAATTCTAAATTTTAAAGTGGGTTCATGAATTACTGGCTTAAGTGACTTTGTAGTACTTGATTCAGAAGCCTTTCACTTCAGCTTAGGCTATACTTTGATGTAAGTAACAGATGGTAACAGAAGAGTGATTAGAGGGGGAAAGCCAGCATTAATTAATTACTCAGGTATGCCATTATCCATTCCCTTTGTCCTCTACTCATTTTTTAAAGGCTAGTTTAGATCCATTTTTTACCTTTTATATTTATTAAGAAAGATTTAATCTACTTCTTTGGATTCTTAACAGACTAGAAATTCTCAAGTGTCTTGAGTTCAATATATATGCACAATATATACTTCTAATAGTAAAAAAAAATCTATATATGCTGTTATAGATGCTTGATCTCTAGGAAAAAAGAGGTTGTAGAAAAATATTATTTCATTTTGGTTTTAGATGTTGCAGATAAACTTTCAAATGTAGAAAGAGACGATGAATTTATTTTTTCCTTTTTGCAGTACTGGGAATTGAACCCAGGGGTGTTCTATCACTGTGCTGCATCCCAAGCCCTTTATTTAAATTTTGAAAAATTTTGAGACAGGGTCTCATTAAGTTGCCCAGGCTGAGCTCAAACCTGTGATCCTCCTGCCTCAGCTTCTCAAGTAGGTGGGATTATAGATGTGTGCCACCAGACCTGACCTGGGTAGTGAATTTCTTTATAAGAACATGTTTCAAAGTATATGGATGAAGACACGAATTGGTGTGACTATACTTTGTATACAACCAGAGATATGAAAAATTGTGCTCTATATGTGTAATAAGAATTGTAATGCATTCCACTGTCATAAATAAAAATTAATTTAAAAAGAACATATTCATGGATTACTCTGTGATCCTCAACAAGATTTATAAAGAAAAAGAGTAGTCATTTTAAAATATGGTCAGTATAATGTTTATCACTCATAGTACTATGCCCTGAGTTATTTTACATATATTAAACATTATAATACTGTAGACAAATTTTAAGGTAATAGGTGCTACTGCCATTATTGTTATTACTGTCTTTAACTCCTATTTCTTGTCTTTCAGTTTGGATTCCCATTATCATTTTTAAAAAATCAGTATTTTTTAATTTTGTCTTTATCACTTTGGTAGTAGAAAGGAGGTGGGAGGAAAGGTATACTTAATGTTTTGATTTTTGTCTTTTAGAGATTGGAGATATTGCTGGTGTAGCTGATGTTACAATCAGACAGTCCTACAGGCTGATCTACCCTCGGGCCCCAGATCTGTTTCCTCCAGATTTCAAATTTGACACCCCAGTGGACAAACTACCACAGCTATAAATTGAGGCAGCTAATATCAAACTTTTATGTACACAGAACTTTGCCTATTGTACATAGCCTATACAACGTGCTGGGTTGAGCCTTTAATGAGGAACATGGTACGCATTCCAGGGCTAAATATTATTGCTTGGCATTCTGTATGTATATACTAGTGCAACATATTTAATGATTTGAATTTCTTACTGAATTTGCTTTCTTTTGTAGTGATCTAGGAAACTGTATTTTGGAAGATACTGAAATTATGTAATTCTTGAATAAAACATTTTTCAAAACTAAATTTTTTGTTACATTTACCTGTTATATGTAATTTATAATATATAATTTTAAATAATGTGTATCACTGCAATTGATAGAGGTTGTTATTTTTCATTATTTTTCTCATATATTGAGGGTTTTAATTTTAATAGTCATGGAAATAAAAAAAAACTTTCAAGAATGATTGTTAACATTTATAACATATTTAGTTTGTAGTGTGAGAGATTTATTAATATATGTTAAAAAAAAAAAAAAAGAAGAGCTGGACCCTGAAAGGCACCAGTGAAAAAGATGTAAACTCTTTTTGTTAATGAACTTATCAAGCAGAAGGATGATGCTATTAAGAATAGCAACAGCAGATCAAACAGATTTTAGTTTGGGATGTGACTATTTCATTTTGTAAAAATCTGCATATCTACAATTCTTTTTTATTCTTAGTTATGCTTATTGGGACACCTATGAAGTAATGGGTCTTTAAAATGAGGATCACTGGTCCCTGGGAGTGTGCAGGAATTTTTAAATGAGCACTGTTATGTGATTTTTTTGATGTGGTGGGTATTTTGCTTATTTTTCCTTAGAACACATTGATTTAGGGTCTCTCAATTTCCAGGCACTGTAAAGGAAGGCCAAGAAAGTGTTGCTGTTTACCCACTAGGATAGTTTATACAGTGAACTTGTGTCTATGATAGGCATCACCTATGTAAATTATTGCTCTAACAGTGCTGTGATTCTCACATATCTGAATGGACATTAGCACTAGATGTGGCCTAGTGGTTGGGTTCAGACCCTAGTCTGTAAAGGGACTTTTTCCTTTTGAAGATCAGACTTTTCACTGCTATCCTCGTGACCATAGGAAGAAGAGGGTTATTGGGACCATGAAGACAAATGATATTTCTCTCTCAGACAAAATGCAGGATCCTCACACAGTACTGCTTAAAAGCAGTGGAAAACCCTAGGGAAATAAATACCAGGAGTCATCTATATACAGGATTAGAGGTCTAGTGAGGAAATGCACATTCCAGGCCAATAGAACTTATCCCACCCAAAGTGAGACCTAAGAAGAAGGAATCTGAACCGTGTCTCCCTTTTCAATATATTGATCCCCAGCACCTCTCATCCCCACATGCCTTCAGCATTGCCCTCGAGAGCAATAGGCTCTAGTGACAAACCACAAAACTCCCAGTTCAGTGAAGGCTGCAAGCTGCAACCCAGTTAGATCTCAAGACAGTTATTTTTACAATTATCAAAGGTCAGTACATACACATGATAGAAGATTTGGAAAGTAAAATATGCATAAGTTACCCAGAAATAACTAATTTTTTTTTCTTTTTCAGCTGTTTTACTGTGTTTATTTTTTTAAACAGTTGATTCAGGTGTGGTAATATGACCTTTTAGTATTTTTTTTTCCTGGTTAAAAATGTATTGGGTGATTAGAAAAATGCAGATAAATAAAGGAAAATAAAAAGCTAACCCTGCCATTTAATTTATGTCAGCATCTTGGTCTGCCCCCCCACACACACACACATCTTTTATTGGTGCATTATAGTTAGTTGTACATAATGGTGGGATTTGTTATATATTAGTACATGCACAAAATATAACAATATAATTTTGGCTCCCCAGCACTTCCCCTTCCTCCCCCTTGTCCCTTTCCTCTACTGATCTCCCTTTGATTTTCATGAGATTCCCACCTTTCTTTTCCTTTTTCTTTAGCTTCTATGTAAGATAAAATGTATGAGCCTTGTTGGTCTGTCTTGTTTTCTGTACATTTATAAAATCAGGATCAAGAGAACTGATTTTTAAGATTAATTGGGATACAGGGTATGTTTTGTTTTGTTTTTGAGAATAAACATAAGTTATTCTTGTAGGTGGTTCTTGAAAGAAAAAGACTTAAAAATGCTATTTTTTCTAAATTCTCCTAAACTGTGCCTATGGCTGAATCAGCTTAATTCCAGGTATTGAAATAAGGAAATATTATGTTAGGGATGTCTTTCAGTGGTAAAGTGCTTGCCAGGCCACAAAGAGTCTGAAAGCTACTTTATTGACAGTCTCTGCTGTTACTCTGAATTTAAGAATTTGATAAGTTTCATGGAATCTAAGTTTCGACACTCTAGCACAGTCTCCCCATTTTTTTTTTTTTTTTTAACATCAGAGAAGCCTAGAAAAACCAAAAGATTTGCCCAAGTTCACTTGGCAGCAGAGATGGGACTAATTGAGGTCTCTTGATCATCCAGTGCTCTCCACTAACCCATACTGTTAGGCTTATTTCATAGGAAGTTGCCTCAGTATTGACTTCAGTTGTACCTTTCAAGTAGAGTTCAATTATTAGGGAATAATTGAAGGAGCTAGGTGTGGTGGTGCAGACCTGTAATCCCAGTGAATGTAATCCCAGAGAGGCTGTGGCAAGAGGATTGTGAGTTCAAATCCAGCCTCAGCAAATCAGGCCCCAAGCAACTCAGCAAGACCCTATATAATTATACATAATAAAGGCTGGGGATGTGACTCAGTGGTTAGGCACCCCTGGATTCAGTTCCTGGTACCAAAAAATGAAAATTAAATGCAAAAGATTATCTTTTTTTTTTTTTGGCACAGAAGAATGAACACAGGGGCACTTAACAACTGAGCTACATCCCCAGCCTTGAGAGAGGGCCTCACTGCTTATGGTTGGCTTTCAACTTGGGATCCTCCTGGCTTGGCCTCTGGAGCTGCTGGGATTACAGGTGTGTGCCACTGCACCTGGCTTTAAGGGAAAAAATTTTTTGAGTTTTTGGTCTGAGGGGTTGTTTTTGTTATGCAGTATTGAGGATTGAACATGGCCTTATGCAGGCTAGGCAACTGCTCTTATCACTAAGCTCCATTCCCAGCCTGAGTGACTTTTTAATTATTTTTTAAACTATCCTGGTGACAAGGAGTTAATGGCTAGAAATTGTTCTTGAGCCCTTCCTCTAAACAAAATACTTCGTAAACTTGATGCCTCTTGATAGTAAGCTTTTGTGTTCAAAGCAGCAAATGTACTTTACCCAGGGTTGTCTTTGGTTCCTGAGCTAATTTTGTATCACAGGTGCAAGATTTATTTTAATTATCAAGATGAACAGCTGAGGGGGTCAGCCTATTACCCATCTGGTCCTAATCCAGCCAAGAGGCCTCTGTGCCCTATGCCAATATTTCCAATTGTCAGTGGCCCTGACTTTTTCTGCTGCTGAATTTTTAATCTCATCTGCCAGTTGAGCTACTGAAAGATTCCCTGACCCCCTAAACACCTCCTCATTCTCCCCCTCCTAGATATTTACATGCATACTCCCTTCCTCAGGATCCCAAGACTGCAAGGCATCACAGTAAGAGCATTTGTTCTAGGCCCTGGCATCTTTCATAAACTTCCACTCATAACCCTCTGATATTTCTGTGGTCCATCGGCTAGTGGACCAGGGAGCCGAGTTTTAAACTGCTATTTCAGGAGGCTGTTGGTGAAGGAGGAGGGAAAGGATGACCAAGAGAGGAAAAACTGTTTTCTTTTTGTACTAGGGATTGAACCCAGGGGTGGGTGCTTTACTACTGAACTGCATCCGGAGCCCTTTTTGTTTCACTTTTTAAAATTTTGAGACAGAGTCTCATTGGTTATTTAAAGCCCTCACTAAATTGCTGAGGCTGGTCTCATACTTGGGATCCTCCTGCCTCAGCCTCCCCAAGTCACTGGAAATTTAGGTGTGTGTCACTGCACCTGACTGGGAAAAAAAATTCTTTCCCTATTTACACATCATTCAACCCTTCTGACAATTTATGCATAGGAGTGTTTCCCCATAATTCCACGCAGTTCACCAGTACACACCACCTCAGTTCTAATACTACCTGGAGATAGCATTAGATCTCATGTTAAAGGCTCAGTACAACTTCTGCTGCCCACCAGCCATCAGCTATAAATTGTCATTATACAAAATACATGTATGAAGATGTGAATTTGGTGTCAGCATACCTTATATACAATCAGAGATATGATAAATTGTGATATAAAGGTGTATTAAGAATTGTAATGCAAAAAATAATAAGAGAGCTCATATATAATGGCAAAAAATAAATATTAAAAAAAAATTGTCCTACCCCACTACTGTCCTTGGGTTTCATTAATAGTTGCTAAGAGCAGCTCACAGGTCCCAGGGAAACACATTTACCAATTTATTATAAAGGACAGTATGCAGTACAGATGAACAGCTAGATGTGAGATACATATAGGGTGAGGCATATGGAGACAGCACGGATTCCATTCATTCCTTGGGTGCTCTGCCCTCCAAGAACCTTTATGTGTTTTGGCTACCTAGAAGGCCTGTGTGCCTTTTTGGGTTTTTATGGTAGCTTCCTCAAGTAGGCATGATTGATGACATAATTGGTAATTAGTATCCACTCAATCCCTAGCACCTCCTGGAGGGTATGGGGGTGGGATACTGAAAGTTCCAACCCTTTTATCACCTGGTTGGTTCCCCTAGCAACCAGCCTCCATTTTGAGGCTATCCAGGCACCTGCCAAGAATGACCTTGTTAAAATATATGATTCCATCAGGAAATTACAAAGTTCTTATTGGCAAATCCATTATTGGATATGATATTTTATTGTTTAAGATGTTTGAGAAAGGAGGATGATTGCTCGTGTGCAAAACACTCAAGAAAAATAGGAGTGATATGAATTTTAAATTTTCCAAAATATATTTTGCCTTACATTGTGACAAAACCACACACCCCAAAAGCTGGGCACAATGGTGCATACTTGTAATCCTAGCTATTCAGAGGATCACAAATTTGATGCCAGCCTGGGCAACATGGTAAGAACTGTCTCAAATATAAAATAGCGTTTTTTAAAGAACTGGGAATGTAGCTCAGTGGTAGAGTGCTTGCCCAGCACAATCCACAGCCTGAATTAATTCCCAGGACCACACACACACACACACACACACCAAAAAAAAAAAAAAAACCAGAAAATGGGGCTTTTAGAGACCTTAGAAAGGCTTGTTTGTGGGCTGGGAATGTGGCTCAAGCGGTAGCGCGCTCGCCCGCCTGGCATGCGTGCGGCCCGGGTTCGATCCTCAGCACCACATACAAAGATGTTGTGTCCGCTGAGAACTAAAAAAATAAATATTAAAAATTCTCTCTCTCTGTCTCTCTCTCTCTTAAAAAAAAACAATCACATAAGCATTATTAAAAAAAAAAACAGAAAGGCTTGTTTGTTCTATACTGATCAAAAAGGCATATCTAGGATGGAAGGTTACAGATATGAGCTTCCAGATACGACACTTATGTTGAACACTTTCCTGAGCTTTTCAAGCAGGCTTGGTTGACCTAATTTCTCTGTGATTTCCCTGGATGACCTAACTACATCTGTGGTTCCTTCCCACTTGATAGCTTTGAGAAAACAGAAAACTCAACAATGGACCTTGAACTTTCAACTTCCTCCTAATATTTTACCCAGAAAATATTATCAGGTATGTAATCAACTTCTGTTTTAATTTGCTAAGGTGGGGAGTTTCCACTTTTTAGTGCACAATAGGAGATTGGGTTTGGGCCCTAACACCAATATTTTAGCTGTGACTTCATTATAATTTTCTGCAGATATCAAACCTGCACACTGGAATGGTGATTATTCAATAACTAAGACCTTTTTAAAAGGTCATCTACTACACAGATATCAAACTGTAGGCCTGGGCTTGTCTGGAGGACTGCAGGAGCAGCTCCAGAGAGAGGACAAACGGGTCCCATTACCTGCTATTCTGTCTTGTGTTGGACTAATCCTGAAGATTTTTTTTGAAAAGATTACAAATGAGCTGGGCGTGGTGGCACATGCCTATAACTGCAATGACTGAGACCCAGGGATCACAAGTTCAAGGCCAGCCTTAGCAACTTCGACCCTAAGCAACTAAGCAAGACCCAGTCTCAAAATAAAAAATAAAAACAGGCTGAGGATGTAGCTGGGTGGTTAAATACCCCTCAGTTCAACTCCTAGTTTTTTTTTAAAAAAAAAAGGTTAAAAATGATTCATCAAGTATAACCCCTTAATTTCCAAGGTCCGAGGTCACTTCACTAGTTAGTTAGAAGGAAGACTAGTTTTGTCCTTAGGTGCTATTTTTCAAGATGCGTGTAACTTTCAAGAGACAACACAAATGTGGAAGTTGTCTTTAGATTAGGGAGGACTAAGTCTAAGGGATGAATATCATGGAGGTTGTCAGAGGGACTCCTGTGTTATGCTGAAGTCCAGAGGCAATTCATAGCAAATCTAATCTTAGGCTGGCTCTTAGTCACAAATTCTAATATTTTGTTATTCTAAAATATTTTTGTATAGAGGAAAGCAGAACATTAATTCATTCTCCATTTTATAGACTGTAAAATACAAAATACAGAGGTGAGCCAGATTTAGTGGTGCACACCTGTGATCCCATTGACTCAGGAGGCTGAGGCAGGAGTATCACAAGTTCAAGGCCAACCTCAGCA